ATGGTTTGCGTTGTCTTACACCCCGTCGTCTGTCATAGTTGGTCTTTTGTTGATTTGTTCTTTCTTTTTCCCACTGTTAGAGTTCTTTGGTATTCACAAGCCTAAGTTCCAAAGAAGAGGAAACAGATGGAAGGGACGTTCTCAGCTTGCAACCCATGAGTAATTCGGCGGGACTTATATCCATTTCCCAATGGTGTTCACGGTAGGATTGCAGTGCGATGTAGCTGTCAGATGTCTTCTTGAGGCTTCTCTTAATAATTCTAACAGCAACTTCAACAAATTCATTGCTCTGTGGATATCTTTGACTGGACGTCCTGTGTTCAAAACCCTATTCCTGGGCGAACTGCTGAAATGCACTTCCAATAATTCGCTGGAACTGTGGTCCATTGTCGCTGAACACAACTTCAGGCGTCCCATGTCTTGCAAAAATTGACTTTAGGTGTATTATGACACTGTTTGCTGTCATAGTATTCAGAAGGAAAATTTCTGTATATCTCGAATAATAGTCAGTTACTAGAAGATAGTTCTTTCCTGACAGGTAGAACAGATCCATTGCTACTTTCTGCCATGGACGCTCTGGAAAGTTGGATGGCATCAAAGGTTCATGGCGGTTGGACGCTTCCTTGATGCATTCTGGACATCTGCGTACCATACTTTCGATGGCTGTTGAAAGTCCTGGCCACCATACAGAGTCTTTGGCTCGAGCTCTGCACTTGGTGATTCAATGATGACCCTGGTGGATCTTCAGCAGAATATCAGGACGCATGGACAGCGGTATGATGAGTCTTGATCCTCTCATGAGCAGTCCATCTTGAACGGCGATCTCTGATTGATGTTGCCAATAATCTTTGCAGCTGTTAAGGACTTCTTTTCGGACGGGCCACCCTTTTTCGCTGTACCATGCCAACTGTTTGCATGTAGAGTCCGTGGCCTGCTTATCTTTGATTTCTTGTAGCCTCTTTTCTGTCGCAGAAAGGTCAGCTGTTACCCCCTTGACAGATGCAGCCACCTCTTGCTCCAGATCTATGTCACCAGTTTCGCTTAGAGGCTGTCGGGACAATGTGTCCGCCGCAATTAAAGACTTTCCTGGAATGTGTTTCATCACATAGGAGAATCTCATCATTCTCATCTTCATTCTTTGAAGTCTAGGTGTGATGTCAGCTAGATTTTTAGACATGAAGATTGGCACAAGCGGCTTGTGGTCGGTTTCAATTTCAATGTGAAGGCCCGTGATGAAATCTTGAAACCTTCCACATGCCCAAACTATCGCTAGGCCTTTCTTCTCCACCTGTGCGTACCTTCTTTCCGTCTCTGTGAGTGTCCGTGACGCGTATGCCACAGGTTTGTAGGACCCGTCTTTTTGTATCTGCCGAAGCACAGCCCCCAAGCCATATGATGAAGCATTGGCTGAAATCACTGTCTTCTTTCTTGGGTCGAACAGCGTCAGTACGGGACTCGTGGTGAGTGAGTGCTTGAGCTCATCGAAGCTTCTCTGCTGTTCCGTAGCCCAAACCCATTGGTTCTTTGAGCTCAGAAGAGAATTGAGTGGGTAGGCGATATGTGACATGTTCGGTATGAACTTTGTCAAATAATTGACCATGCCCAGAAAACTTCTCAGTTCATGAACAAGCCTCGATTTTGGCGTTGTCTGGACAAATTCCTTCGCGGTCGATGATGTGACCCAGGAACTTCACTCTTTGTACGTTAAATTCGCACTTGTCCGGATTCAAAGTCATTCCTTTCGCCTGGAGACGTTCCAGAACCAGACGGAGTCTGTCATCAGGCTCTTGTTGGGAGCTGGCATAAATGAGAATGTCGTCCATGTTGCATACAACACCTTCGAGACCAATCAGAAACTGCGACATCTTCTTTTGGAAAAATTCTGGAGCCGATGATATTCCAAACGGTAGTCTCTTGAATTTGAACCTTCCGAAGGGTGTGATGAAAGTCGTTAGAGCTTGGGACTCCTCAGCAAGCTCAAATTGCCAAAACCCAGAATTGGTGTCGATCTTTGAAAAATAGCGTGCTCCGGGATTTTGTAGAGAGACATCATTGAAGAGTTCTTTGTACATCTTCTCAGGAATCACGGTGACGTCGGCCGCCGTGTCGACTTTGAATGTTATGAAGACTGCTCGGACGTCAACCTTGACTATCCATCGCTGTCCATCTGACGTGAACACGGTGCCAAGAAATGCTGTCTCAGACGTTGTTACCTCCCTCAGTGTGGTAGAGCTTCTGCAAACCCGTGCGTAGCGCCCCTGTCTTCTGCATTTGTTGCATGTTACTTTTATCGCAGGGCACTTGTTCGTTTTATGTCGTTCATTGCCACATCTTGAACAGACTTTCTCGGACGTTGGTAAACTCGATCATGAAGTTTTTTTTTCTCCATTTCTTTCCTTTCCTCCCTTTTGACTTGCATCTTTTCTGAAGATTCTGTCAACGTTTTCTTCTGGGGACTTGTGGAGAGCAACTTGCTGTTTCTTGACAGCTTCTGACTGTCGAGCCAGATTTGTAGCCTTCTCGAGTGTCAATTCCGGATCTAGTTGCATTTTCTCCAACAGTTTTTGGTTGAGGACCCCGACTACAATGCAATCTCAAATCATCTCCTCGTGTAGGACGCCGAAGTCGCAAGTCTTGGCGAGGCTATGAAGTTGTGTTATAAATTCTTCCACGCCCTCGCCTTCCCGCTGACTCCTTTTGTGGAACTTCGCCCTCTCGTAGATGACGTTTCGTCGGACTACGAAGTGTCACTTGAAAGCTGAAAGGACTTCTTCGTACTTCTCCATCTTTGCTGAAGGCAGGTTCAACGAGAGAAGGATATCGTCTGCTTTGTCGCCCATTAAGTAGGTAAGACCGTTGACCTGCTCAGGCTCAGGTTTTTCTGATAGACCACTGATGACGCGGAAACGTTAGAGTCACCGCTTCCAATGAGGCCATTCATCGGGGCTGGGGAAATCGAATTCCGCGGGAGGTTGGCAGTGGAATGAGTTGGCGTTTGCCATTGCTCACGGTTTCTCTCGGGTCCTGGGTCCTTGAACTTCTGACACCATGTGTTGTTGGTTGTTAATGACACGGCTCCCGGTAGCCTCCTGTCTAAATGCCATGTTTATTCTATATCCTCAAAAACCCCCCCGTCGTTCTCCTCTTCTTCAGCAAAGCCTAACAGCACAGTTTGAGGTTTTTCTAAATCAAAACATTTGTATATGTGGTTGCCAAAACTTGATTTTACATATTCTATTACGTTCACGAACAAAGATGTGCCTCGGACAGCTCGTTCCTCCTAAAATGCACACAGCTCCGTGCCGTTCTCGCTAAGAAACGGAGGATGCAAGCCCCAAAGAACCCACTACGTGACGAGCCGTTTTTTTTCTCAAAAAAAGTAATAACTGCAAATAATTTTCGTCTAATCTTTGTTTTACAGCAAAGCTGTTTATGGCTAGGGGTCCGTGAATTTTTTGTGTGCAGTGACTAAAAACTCCACCCTCGAACCGCCGCACGTGCACACCTTTCCCGTATAAAACATTAAATCTAAATAATCAAAATAAGGCACTGACAAACGTGCGTACAAAATGCCATTTGTTTTAGGCTTTTGCTTAAGAACAGTTACTGCTGCAGACGCCGGCATGTGCGGCACGTGGAGCACCGTTCCCTGCATTCTCCTTGACGCTTGGGTAATTTAGCAATAGGTCTATTCAGTAGATTAGTTATCAGCAGGCACCATTTTCAAGATGAGTAGATTCTCAAGTAGATAATAAAGGTTTCTCAAAGATTTGCCGCTGTGCGACCCGTGTCAGCCATGTCTATGCTTGCACCGGCCTCTCTTTGTCATCCTTCTAAGCACTTGCGTGTCTATTCTTTCCTTTCGCTCTCCCGGGGTGGCGGTCCCGTCGCACGTGTCTAGCTTCCTCCAGCTTCTTGAGGCAAGTCTGTGTCGTGTGCTAAACAGCTTCGCTGGTCATCTACCTTCACAGAGTCAAATGGCTCACGATTTTTTTTTTACAGCGAAGCTGTTAAGGGCTAGTTTCCCCAGGATTGTGTCCTCCGCAAAGACATGTCGACACAAAACTCTGGACAGCTACTGCCATCTATGAGCGACGGCGGCAACCAGATGATCGGCTTGCCGGCCTTGCTCATAGATGGCGACAACCTTCACAGCCTTTCCACTCTGGTGAAAACCAGAGTGGAAAGGCTGAATTTCTCTAGGCGTCGTCCTCGAGGTCGTCCTAGAAGTCGTCCTTGAGGTCGTCCTAAACATCTTCCTTGAGGCTGTCCTCGAGGTCGTCCTAGACGCGCCCTTGATGTCGTCCGAGAGGTTGTACTCGAGGTCGTCCTAGAAGTCATTCTTGAGGTCGTCCTAAGCGTCGTCCTCGAGGTCGTCCCAGAAGTCATTCTTGAAGTCGTCCTAGACGTCGTCCCAAAAGTCGTCCTTGAGGTCGTCCTAGACACTGTCTTCGAAATCATCCTAGAAGTCGTCCTTGAGGTCGTCCTAGATGTCGTCCCCGAGGTCGTCCTAGGCGTCGTCCTTGAGGTCGTCCTCGAGGTCGTCTTAGAAGTCGTCTTTGAGGTCGTCCTAGACATCGTCCTTGAAGTCATCCTAGACGTCATCCTTAGGCGTCGTCTTTGAGGTCGTCCAAGAAGTCGTCCTTGAGGTTGTCTGACCATAGTAGCTTCGCTGGTCTTCCTTCTTCAACAGAGTGGAAAGGCTGAAAGTTTTTTTGTAAAAACTGGAGCATGCGGAGGTGTATCGCCGCAGCACCAACTCTGCAGCCAAAACTTCTATGGTCACCGAGAAGCTGAGAACAGCAGGCAGGAGCTTCAGTCGCTCTTCCTTTTGCGTGAGGTCACTACCTTCGACGAAGCTTTGGCATCGCCTGGAACTCGAGCGCACACGTGCGGCCAAAGCATGACAGAAGGCATAGAGCGCGAGCGGGAGGCCGGGCATTCGAAAAACACGCCCTGCCCTCCTCATTTTGTCGATGACTACAGCTGCGCACACCTACCCGGTTTTGGCGAAGTTAGCCCAGGCCTGCATGAAGAGCTGACTCATGTTGCGGTCCCCCTCACTCCAGACGATCCCGCTCAGCTCCAGGTTGTCCGGGTAGAACTTGGGGTCCATGAAGGGAGCCCCCGAAACCATCAGGTCCACCACCTCGTGCGGCACCGCTGGATGGATGTATGCAAGCACAAGGCCGAGCTCTTTCAATCGGGCGGTAACTTTCAATGGTACCACTTTTAGCAGCAACAGATGCTGGATGTACAGCCGCCGATCGATATTTCAAACACCAATATTTCGGATTGTTTGATGTTTCGGACTAAAAGAGGAACCGTGACCTACCCGATAGAAATAGTACATATTCATGACCGATGTTTCGGACAGCTCGAAGTCCGAAAGTTCAATTTTTCTGACAAAATCGTCGCAAGCAATTGGTGAAAAACGCCACCATGAACTAATCATTTTGAATTCTATGTTGGCTGCACATGGATTGGCTTGGTTTGGCAGGGGGACTTGAGTACTGCTAAGTCCTACTGCTAGGTGATGCTTTATGGCTCTTTTTTTTTTCTAGCTGCGCGTCATTAGCATATTTATTGTTATTACCAGTTTGCTTCGTTCATTTGCCATTGCATTCGTGAACTAGCGGCGGATCTCGACCTTGTTTCGGCGAATCGTATTTTCGGATTACGTTGGCTTGGATTTCATTGCCCATTTGTTCTTCCACCGCCGCGACGTGTTGCTAAGAAGTGCAGAAAGTACTCGGCCATCACACTAGAAAAAAAGGCAATGATTCTCAAGTTAAAGGCCAACCAACAAGTAGAAAGAAGGAAACTCTCCCTCAATTCCTCCGTTCCATTTGAGAAAGAGGGAGACCCTCCTCCTCTCTACCGGGAGTAGTTCAGAGATCCGCTCCTGTGTGGAGAAGAGGGGGAAAGTGGACGAGTGGGAATGGAGAGAAGGAAACTGGGAACCGTTTTTTTCCCCGGTAGAAGACGATTCTGTAGGTCGGACTTTAATAGAAAGTTGCCGAACGCAAAAGGAGGCGTAACCTGAAACAAAGCGCGTAGGCGTAACCTGAAGCAAGGCACTATTTTCGGTTTAGCCTGCTTAGACGTAATAAAGGCAAGTTTTTTAATCTGCTGATTTTTCGGACTGCTCTATTTTTCGGACGTCTTTCCGGTCCCTGCAAAGTCTGAAAAATTTGTCGGTGACTGTAAGTGCACAAGCCACGATGGATCATAGAAGTGTCTCTTGGAAGCCATCAAAGAGCCAACGTGTGTCAAGGGACAGCTCCAGTAAGACCTCTCGAGTAAGCAAGTTGGAAGGTGCAGCCATTCTGAGAACACAAAATAAAGAGAAGACGGCTGCTCCGTTTGCCCAATGAACAAGGAATGAGTATCTTCTCATGATCATGATAAGGCTGACTCTTTCAACATGGCTCACAGACAAGAAGAGGGGTAGGAACCAGGGTTCCCAACAGGAAAAGAAACGTAACGCTCACCATCCCAGTCGTAGGAGCGCCTGAGGTACTGTTCCTTGGGGTAGCTGTCGAGGCTGTAGTTGAGCACGTAGGCATACACCTTGAACCCCTTGTCCAGCATCAGCTTGATTGTCTTGTCTTGGGGTGCCACGAAGTAGGAGTCTGAGAGCATCTGAGCAAACCGGAGAGCAAACGACTCAAATTGCGTACAAAACAAGTATAGAACAAGCTTCGGAATTAGAGAACTCGACGGGTCACTGGGCCTTGAGCACCGTATTTTCCTGTCTATGAGTTGCAACCCCTCTAGACGGTCGTTTTTGCGAAAAAGTTGGTATGCATTAGTCGCACCCTCGCATAAAGGGTGGTTCACACATTTGTGTCTGACTGTGCTTGAGTGCTCTGCATGCTCTTGTAATCACTTACAACGAGAGAGCAGACAACCAGCACCATCTATAGAGTGCAATCCACTCATAACGATAATGAGAAAATCCGAAAATGCAATCGTTATAACCGATTATTGTTGTATCTGGGCTAGAAACTGATCGTTTCTAGTCTAGAAACTCCATAAACTGATCGTTATAAGCGGTATATCGTTATAAGTGGGTTGCACTGTATTAGGTAGAATTCGAAAAATTATCTTGACAATGTTATCGACGATGGTTTCTTATAGATGGTGCGTAGATTTAATCTCGCAAATACTGCAACACCTTCCGCGTAGTTATACGCCCTTCCAGAGCTGCTAAATAGATGGCATCGGTGTGTTTTCTTCTTCGTAATCGGTTATAAAAAAATGCAATGCACCAAACACAAATGTACGAACCAGCCGCTCTACTTCCTCGTACAGTCAGTGCGGCGAAGCCGCACTGATAAGCCCGCACAGTATGTATATTGCAATTGCAATATATGCGCAAGTGGGATCCAGATTCGATATACCTGCTGTCGAATCGAACGAGAAATATAATCCCAGCGGTTATACCAAATTGCACCTTGTCTCGCGGTTCTAAAAAGAATGCAGGTAAGTCGAAACGTCGTATAAGCCACACCTAAGAAAATCTCAGGGAAAAAAAGTGGGATCTACGGGCCACAAATTGCGGCAGTTAATCCGAAGTCGAGCGCAAACTCTCGTAGAATGAACTGCTCTAGACCGGTGGTTTGAACTTTAAAGCTCCGTAACAGAAAGTAACAAACCCTACTCGTTTGGCGCACAGGGTCCGGCTTGTCTAGCTTTGCGGGACAGCCAGCGTCGATTAAAAAAACAATATATAGCTCAAGTTGACCGACGGTCAAGACGTTCGGGGACGCCAGAAGGTCCACGGACCCCCTTTGAGAACCACCGCTGCAGCCACTACTGGATGAAAATGGCGGGGCATTTGTTTTTGACGGTCCTCTGCCGTTTGGGGAGCTGTGGCGTTAGGATGACCGAAGCCCCTCCCTGCCATTCTCGCTCTGTCGGCGGCTGCAACGTGAGACGGGCCATTCGTAGCTTTTACTCACGTCCACGTATCCCTGCATGAGCAGGGAGCGGTTGTCCCGGTCGCTCCACGGGGTGTACATGAAGGACAGGGCGCTGACGGCGGCCTCCTCGTTGAGTGAGAAGTTGAACTGCCTGGCATAGCGCTGCAGGTACAGCCGGAACAGCTCGGGGCCCATCGAGTACTTGGATGCCTTCAGCTCCTTGTCCTCCCCTGGCAGCGGGCAAGAAGCGCCACCGTGACCGTTCGGCGAGATGCGCGCAACTCCGGAAGGGTATTCCTACGTTCGATCGGGTCGTGCCGCACTTGCGCGCACGCGACGACTGGTGGGCGCAGGAATAGCGAGCGGATCTCCTTTTACTGGGTCCGGAATTTAGAAACAGAAACTTGCGTTAGGCTTTCTTAGCACTGGGGCTGAGTTGGGGGCCATGAGGGGCCATGAGGGGCCACTCGAAAAGAGGCGAAATGGGTCAGTCAGTTAGCTAATGAACTAAAAAAGGTTTGAATTAATTTCTTAAATCTTTGTGCCGTGGGAGGAACATTATTGTAGTCGGAGAATTGTCGCTCGACCACGTTACAATCCAGCTGCAGTGTAAAATTCTTTAGGGAAATTTGTAGTGGGCGACACGGGGCGAGAAATGTATAGTCCTTGTACGAAGCTTTGAAACGAAATTGAGCAAACAATGAGTGCCCATGAGGTTGATCTCTCCGCCCTGCATCGACTCCGCTACCTACTACGTGTCCATGCCGCAAAAATAAGAATGTCAGACGTTCACTAACACTTTTTACCTAATTAATTAGCTAAGTAATTAACCCATTTCATGTCTTTCCTAGTGGCCCCCATGACCACCAACGTGGCCCCAGAGCAAAAAAGAACCACACTGCGCAAGTATCTTTTTTTATATTCTGGGTTTATTAGAAAACACACCCTGTATGAAAGAATGTTACAAAGATGAAAGCCAGAATCATTGTACTGTTTACCTGGCCATGTCCTACACCCAGATCTCGGAACTTAGAACAAAACGGAGCCTCAAACAGACAAACTCCACATACTGTTGAGCCTTCTAAGTTACAAAAACCATCACTCCTAGAAGTGTTCTGCACCTTGGCTCACTCATAAAGTGTTGCATTTCTTACTCGCAAAGCATTGTACACTCTGAAGTTGGATTGAAGACTGTCACGCATGTCAGCGGAATAGTGACAAACTACATCTATATCAAGCGGTGCGAAGCTTTGAAAATAATTAGTTTTTGGCCCAAGCAACAGCGTGTGGTACCATACTTAGCCAATTCTAGCACATTGTTTTTTCTTTTAGTAAAATATAGTTCCCATATTTCTGCATGAGCTGCTTGTGTGTTAGGATCGGACACAGAATGCATAATTGTGGAAGCATTAGAATCGGGTAAATACGGTCACACGCATTAATTCCAATTTTATTTATTTATTTACAATACAGATAGCTCTTTGGGGCTATCTCAGGAGTGTGTGTGGTTTTCTTTTTAACAATGAACAAAACAAAGAACAAGAACCGCACAGCAACCAACTATCATTCGGATGATTTGCCGGGAATAAACATGGGCATCCACAAAATCATCCCACCATCATCATTCCAAGAGAACTGGCATGTCTCTGAATGAAAATCAAGTGAGACTTTTTTCAAACTTCTCCGCATCATCAATCCCAACAACAGGGTCGCCATCAAGGCTACCGTATTAACTCGCAGAATGAACACACTTTTTTTTCCGAAAAATCGATGCAAAGTTGGGGGGGGGGGGGGGGGGGGGGGGGCGTTCATTCCGCGAAGTAAAATTTTTGCGTCCCTATTTACTCGCATAATGAATGAACCGACCTTTTATCCTGAAAAATCAAAGTAACTTCTTATCTCTTTGCGCCCGACGCCCGACCCCGTAACCAAACCTAAGCTGTGCAAAAAAAAAAAAAGAAGAAAAAAAAAAAAAGAAACTTCTGTTTTTGTTTTTTTTTATTCCTTGGGTGTTCCTTTTTTCTTTGCCGCCTTTCGCAAGCTGTTTTGTTTGCTTAGGCGAGGGCTCTCCGCTTATCTCCTTGCGCGCGGCGCGCGACGCACGACGCACGCAAAAAAAAAAAAAAAAAGAAAGAAGAAAAAGCTCTTTTTTGTTTTTGTTTTCTCTTAGTTCGGTGGGTTTTTCTTTCTTTTTTTGCCGCCTTTAGTAAGCTGTTTCGTTCGCTTAGAGCGCTTCTCCGCTTCTCTTCCTTACCTCCTTCGCTCGGCGGCGCGCGAACCCAAAGTCCAAACTGGCTGTGCAAAAAAAAAAAAAAAAAAAAAAAAAAAAGAAAGCTTTTTTTTTTTTTTTTTTTTTTTGCATCCGTTGGATTTTTGGGAATTTTTATAACGGCCTTTGCGAGGCGTTTTGTTCGCCCATGCTGCCCATGCATTTGCGACATCGCTGCACGAGGATAGAAAAGTGCGTTCATTTCGCGCGCGTGGGGGGAAGGGGTCAAAATTTTGACGTCCGAGTTGGGGGTGCGTTTATTACGCGAGTAAAAAAAAAGTCGAAATTTCGAGAGCCGACTTGGGGGGTGCGTTCATTACGCAAGTGCGTTCATTGCGCGAGTAAATACGGTATTTCACTCCTTGATTGTTTTTACCCTGAAAAGAGCACTTATAAACGCTGAGGTTTGGACTCTACGGCTCGACTCCAAACTGCTCGTTAATTCTGGAAGACCCTCTTCTGGGAAGATGTGTATGCTTTAAGAAATGTGGAGCGTTAACTTTCCTGCAAAATGCCCGAGAGAGCCCATCGCTGCAATACGCAAAGAGAGCTTGACAAATGACGAGGCTAAAATCGGTATGTTTAGACCTTACAAAAATGGGCCGAAATTGCTGCTGCCACCACGCCAATTCTCGAAGAAATGCATTAGCGTTTCGCGTAGCGGTTATATATAAGAAAGCATGGTGAATGCAGCCGCTCGGCACTTTTCCGCGGGGTCAATATTCCCGAAATTCCTCTTCTCCCTAGTGCAGACAGATCAGGCCAAATCAGATTACACAGAACAGTCTATACTGTGGTGCTGAACACGGTGAAATGACACGCTCAGTGCCAGAGAGCGAACTGTTTCTTTAAGTCCAAACCTATTTTTCGCCTCGTCATTCTCTGCACTCCCTTCTGTAGATATTGCAGTAACTGCCTCTCCGATTGGTTCCTCCGAGTGCTCCAGAGCTTTTAGCTTGTGCAGAGTTACTCAAACCGATGTTATGATGCCCGCCATATAGCCGGTAGAAAACTTTTAGCTTAGGGCAACGAGCCTCACCCGCACACGTTCTATGCCACGCGTCGCCGACTTTGGGGGCGCCGCTCTACCTGGCCCAATGCTGCGGCCCTCACTCACGTGCTATGTAAGAAGCCTCGTTGCGTGTGACGCCTGTCATGTAAGCCACCTGCTCCCGCATTAGCTCCGCCTCCCTCGGCGGAAGGTCCCGGAAAAACTCCTCTGGCGCGACGGGCACTATGCTCTCCGCCTGGGCGCGCGTGTGGCGATCCAAGACTGGGCCCCAGGCAAGCCTCCCAACCAAGGGCTAGAAAACGAAAGCATCAACAATCTAAGTAATCATTATTGCAAAGTACCATATTTTCTGATGTATAAGTCGCTGTCTTTCGTTTTTTTATAAACTTTTCATTCAAGTCTTTTATGCAACGGTGCAACTTACGCACATTTTTTTCTCTACGAGTTAGACCTTAACGGCGGAAATTTGGCACGGGGGTCATTATTTTTGTTGGGTTTGTTGACGAGAATATTGAAACTTGCTCTCGCTTGTGCACGTATTGCGATTGTCAAACGCATATACGCGCTTTTCGGTGCAGTTTTGCTGCGCCGACCGTACAAACATATAGGTGTGACTTAAATACCAAATTTTTCTGAAAACAGCCGTTTATAGGCGGTTGTGACATACACAGGCGCAACTTATATAAACCGGAAAATATGGTAAAAGTTGGCCACAAAACAACCAACTTATATACACTATAACAGTGAATCCATACAACTGAATGCCTAACGTAAAGCACAGATTGCTTAAAACTTCTAATCTATAAGTGAAGGGGAACATGAAGAAAAAAGAAACAACAAGGATATATGTGGTCACAATTGAAATTGCCTTCTGCAAATAATGCAATTAGACACACAGTCACAGGACACTAATCAGGGCCTGGCTGGTTCTCCTACTATCGTCACTAAGTAAGTTCTGCTTATACTAGTAGTAGCATATTTCGTCAAACCAGATGCTTGCACGTGATAAACTTGTTTGGTGCCTTTTTCACTGCAACAAACTTTCTGACACTCGATGGCCGTGCTTTTAGACCATTGAGGCATTTCAGATGAACGTGGCACTGCTCTTGCGCATGGAATGACTAAAAGATAACCCGTGATTTGGGGCACAATATAAAGCACACTCGTGGCGCAGAACCAAAAGAGCACGAGGCATCCGGCAAATATCGTACTTACCCAATCCAAACGTGCATTTTTTTTTTCTTCTTTTTTTTTTTTTGAAAAATATGTTGAAAAACTGTTTGTAGGAAAGCTGAGTATGCACTATTAAAATCAGGTAAATAAAATAAGTGCAATCCAAGAACATCCTCAAGAACAAAAGGTGTTGTTGCTAAAAGGGACTTCCTAGAGGGATGACCAGCTTTCCTCTTGTACCAAAGCTTCTCAACTATACATGCCGCTTTCCCATAAAAGAGACGAAGCTCTCATTTTTTTAACTCTGCTCGGAGAACCGTAAACGAGTTTACGCGTGCAAGCTCTCGACAACTTTTGCTCTAAGAACAAAGACGGCGACCGAAAAAAGCGTCCACCGACTGTGACTCGTGCGAGGGTGAACTCGGAGCTGCTGTTCCCCTTGCTGCGGAGGCAGTTGACCAGGTGCTGCGTAGTGTGGCCCCCGCAGCCCACCTGCTCCCCGTACAGGTAGCTCATGTTCCGCATGCGAATCGGGTCTTGGTCCAGCGCCCACTCCGCCATCGCCGAGCCGCCCTGCGCTATCACCCGCTGGAAGGCCACTGCACGTGCGAACACGAGACCCGCCGCAGCAACGGCATTATTGGACCGCCAAACAGAGCATTTAGGCACGAGAAAACCTTGGACAGCCGTAGACAGCGTAAGAAATGCAGGATGTGGCGAGTCCTGGGCTGCCAATAGCAGCGTCGGCTGACGAGCATGGCGTGGGACGAATCGCAAACTAAGAGGTGTAAACATGATTGGCCATGTTTTTGCGTATCTTTGGCTGTCAACTGGTCACAGTGAAAAGACCTCTCAACATCCTGCAAGAATATGCTTTTTGTTTTGTGCGTACTATAGCTCTAGTATGCGGTGTCACTGCGGTGTCCTCGGTGACACCGCGGAAGAGCGATTGTGCCAGCCAACGTCCCAAACTAGAATGCTTTTACTTCGAAAACACAACAAAAAGAAATGTGCGACGATGACCTTGACAAAAACGACACAGGGGGATGTTTCTCTACACCAGGGGTCTCAAACTCATTCGAGTGTGGAGGGCCAAATTGCCCACCCCCGAAAGGATGAGGGCCAACGGACGCAGGGGGGGCAATATTTACCTATTTTGCGACAAAGATATAAACGAGCAAACAGCAGTACTACTATGTCACGTTGCAAAGCAGCCGACCGTCCCAGCGACTCCCCACAGATTTTTTAGACAAGCAACCTTATGCTTTTGCAAGCTCATCGTTTTGCACTCTTCAGCTTTTATTTGCATATATGATACTTTGGGCCCACGCCTAATGTTATAAAAGGACACCATCATAGCCCAGTCCTGGCAGTTTTCAATAGAACGAAAGTAAGCAAACCACCCTTGCCCTGTCGCACAATTCGCTAGGCTCAACAGGCATAGAAAAATATCTCTTTATGATACAGTTTTTGCTCTCCCGACAATTTTTATAACAGCATTATAAGAAAATACTTAAATCTTTAAGGTATTGTCTGACAGGTAGAAGCCTGAGCTCATAGCTTTATCTTTGGCCATTGTTCCTGTTGTGCAAGAGTTCATGCAGCCAAGGTGCTTCCTTGAGCAAAGAGCTCGCGCTTGTATACCCTAGTAGTGGTATTGCCGTTCCGGTTGATTTACATAAGAAAGGGCGAGAAGCAAATATTTAGACAAACCAATACTTGGTTTTTAAAAAGTAAGAATGGTGCAGAATGCGTGAACAGAGCATAGATCCCTTTCAAGCAGAAATAAATCAACAGTATCAAACTATTATTTATGGCACATGTGGCGCTCGAGGCATGGGAACGGGGACTCGCAGCATGGAATGCTTGTGGGCTGCATCCTAGAGTGTCACAGGCCATGTGTGGCCCACTGGCCGCGTGTTTGAGACTCCTACTCTACACGCTACATAACTTTTTTATTGGAGGGTTTGTGCAAACAGCAATAATTAAAAACTTAGCAAAATAATGCACATTATAATTAGCCCATTAGACATATCACAAAAAATATCCCGACTCGCTCGACAGGACCGTGAACAATACTGCTTCAGTTCGACGCGCGTTGCACATGCACCGGTTTTCTTCGAGTCTAGGCACGAGTTAGCCGAAACACCCTGTATATACTTTGTTTCACGGTAACTTTGCGAACTGTGGACGCAAGGGCCCCGTGACCCAATAAGAGCATTGGAGCGAGGCGTGTGACCCATTGTCACGGGAGCATTTGTGTCACTACACCAAATGAGAGGAGCGAGGCCCGGAGGAACCAGCTGTCGTCTGCTAGCCAAAAATCACCTGCTCCGAAACCAACAAACTTCGGATGAGTGTCCACCACAGCAACATTTCTGTCCGCTAGAATAGCAAGCATTTCATGAACAATTCATAAGACAACCATACACTCAATTTAGCCACAAATCTGAGGACCGGCGTTAATGCCAGATAACAGTGCGATGTGTTAAGGTGAAACGGCCGATTACACGGCTGCGATCGTCGGCAATTGCTAACGGCCACGGTGCTACAAGGAGAGAAAAAACCAGGAGCGAATACGGTTGCGACGTCACTTTTTTGGTTTAAATATAATTGAAACGCATAAATTTGTGATTATTTATTCTTTACTTTTTGTATCTTCTCGTTAGATATTGAAGCGCGCGAGTTCAATTGCCGTTAAAAGAAAAAGAAGCCCAGAGCTACTTTTTGTCGCAGACGGCACTGTTGCTGTGGCAGTAACGAGGCCCCCAAGGCCTCGACCATGGGGTGTTATCCTGTTCCTTGCTCTGGTGCTCTTATTGGGACGCGGGGGCCACAGCCTCCACAGTTCACCAAGTTATCGTGAAACGGAGTATAGTTCCGGCGTGCGGGCGAGGAAGATGGGAAAGGCCAGCTCACGGTCACGCCGTCCCATCTGGTGCACCATGTGTAAGCCCGCACTGGCCGCACCGGCGCCGGGTCCAAACAGGGTGATTCTCCTCGGGTCGCCGGCAAAACCTTCGACGAAGTCGTGCACCCACTGAATGGCAGCTGCCTGGTCCAGCAGCCCATAGTTGCCGGGAGACACATCGTCGCCCGTCGCCAGGAACCCTGGACATGTGGAAAGCCTAAATTGAAGAGAAGGAGCGACGCAAACCACAGAAAGAGCGTCCAATTCAATGGCAGACACCTCCTGCGCCAGGAGGGTAAAAAGCGGCAGATCGTAAATGCTTAAATCCGTGGTCTCGAGAGAAAGAGAGTGACAGAGAAGAGGAGAAAGAAAGAGACAAAAGGTTAGGTGCGCTTTTTTTTGCTGCGACGAGCTAAAGTTGCTCGAGGGCTCGTCGACTTCATTTCCTCTTGTACGATGCCCGACGACAGCATTTTGTGCAAAACGAAGCTAGAAAAACTAGGCACAGACCTTACAAGTGGCAATTGGTGTTGCTGCTTTGTGCACATTAAAGCGCCGCCAGCAATATGGGCCTACTGGGACCACTGACATTTGCGCGTCTATGCCCTGCTGTTCCGAAGCGGACGAAATACGCTTCTTCCACATTATTATGTGAAGTCTGTGTCCTGTGTAGACTGGGCTCCTCGTGTGCGTGCGTGTGTGGCCGCATGGGAAGGAGGATGGTGGTTGAACATGTCGAGCAAAGCTTGGAGACGCTCTACACGTTTATGCCGCAAATGCGGCCAATAAATCGTGTGGCCCCAGATTGAGCGGTTGGAACCGCTCTAAATTTCGGGTACACTAACCCTGGACCGGGCAGATGCAATGTTGTTTGTCCACTACAGCACCACGTTTCTAGGGCACCATGTACGGACGCCTTCAGCGCTTCAGTTACCCGAGCCACCACCAGTCGGTGCGCTCCCCAGGCCGCCTGCCATTGCCGGCCTGTATTTTGGCCTGCGCCTGCGCTCTGGTTACCTCGCTTGCGGGTGTTTGTGTGACGATGAGCGGCCACAGTGGGACAAGTAAACAGCATTCAAAGGACAAGACGTGCTCTGTAGCGGGTTGCAAAAACTGCAGTGGCAACATTGAAGTCTGGAACCACACTGCGTGCACTGAACATGTTCTGCTAAAGCATGTGGACTGTCCGTGCTCTGTGCCATCTTCGGTGCACCAATTAATACTGAATAACTTGAGCAAAGCGTTTTTAAGTGCAAGACTTTCTACCCAACGCATAGGTTATCTGCTGTAACTCATTCTGATGCACCCAATGTCAAGCACAATATTTTTCTGATAAGCGATGAGGCGCAGCACCAAAGACTGCATGCGAGCGACTCCCAGGCGATGAACAAAGTTTACTAGGAATCTTCTACAACCGAGCGGTGCGATGAGCAACAGCAAGCAATTCACCCCAGGGACGGCCCAGCTTGTTGCTGATCCTCAAGTTTTTCACTTGCCAAATGGCCTATGCAATTTAAGTATGCAGATGCAGCGATGAATAAGGCTGTGATAGCCTTGCTGTGTCAGCTCGACATTTGCAGAAGTCGCACTCAGTTTCAACTACCTTCATTTCCGGCAAAATTGTAACAAATGTGATGAACTTACATGGTCTTTGAAGTCTAGGCCATAATCTCGTGTCATTGACCCATTCACAGTCCAATTCACCCCGGCGGTGGCTGGCAAAGTGCAATACGCAGCGGTATACGTAATACAGCAGCAGGAAAGTAGAGGCCGGTAATGGCGGAAAGGTCACGTGATGCCAAGATGGCAGTACCCGTGCAAAGTTGACTAAAAGCGTCTATAAGGAGTAGGGATGTTGCAAACTTTTTTCGAACCGAAGTTTCGACGATCGAATAAAGTGGTTTGAAAAGTTCGAAAGATTTGGAATTTTCTATATCGTAAAAATTCGACGGAAGTTGAATTTCTGAACTTTTTAAACTAAGAAGTTTGACGTTTTCGAAATTTCGAACTTTGCACGTTCAGAAATGCAATGTTTTTCAAACCTTAGAACTCATTGCGTTAAAAAGTTCAATTCTTTTTGAACTTTCGAAGTTATTATGCAGCAAAATTGGAGGCTTGTCGAACTTTCGAATTTGATAGACCAGAAAATTCAATGATTTTCCATCTGTCAAATTTTTTTCACTAAAATGTTGAAGCTTTTTAAACTTTTGAACTTCCTACACTAAGAAATTCTATAATTTTCGAACTTATTTATCTAGATAATTTGAAAAGTTTCGAACTTTCGATCCTGAAAAGTCAAAAGTTTGTCGAACTTCAAAAGACCGACGGATAGTTTCATTTTTATTCAAGTAGTGAGGTACATTCATATTTTTTTTTCTCTTGAATTTTTACATGCGGTGCCGCGTTCCTTGCGGAAGACAATGCCATTTATTTCAATGTTCTGGCATGCTTAGTTTTAAAGAAATAAATTCTCAAAGGAGTGAGGAAGGACGATGGGTTTTTGATTATTGCCGTTTGTGCCATAGATATGTTAAACCTTTTAAGAATGATCTATGTATAGCCTCGGTAAGTGTCGTCTTAAGATATGATTATTGTTATTCAAGATGAGTTTTGAAGAAATGTCCAAACATGTATTTACGGGCAATTATGACCTAAACTTGGTAATTTTTTTTGTCTAAATTGTTTGAGGTATTACATTTAAATTAACACCACAGACAGTACATATCACTGCCATCTGCAGAATACAAAATAACGTATTTATTGTTTTTTTCACATTGAGGAATAAAAATTACTCATGGGGGAAGATTTCTAATATTGTTTAACTTCAGCACGTGATTAAGAGTATACCATATACAGCAGGCACGTAGCCAGGATTTTGACTCAAAGGGGGGAGGGAGGGAGCCTTTTTTTTTTTTTTTGTCTTTATGTTCTTTGGTTGTGTTTCTTTTAGCCTGTACATATTTTGGTAAGAGAAACTTGTTTTGAAGTTCCAAGTTTCTGAATATGCAAGAATACAACACTTCCACAAGTTCTTGATAGTTTTTTTTTTCCCAGCTTTTTATCCCCACATTTATTGTTAAGTTTACTATTATTATTTTACCAATGGCACAGTTATTTAGGTTGTAAAGACATAGCTTTGAACTTTCGAACCACTAAACATGTGAGAAGTAGTGCCTTCTGACAATGATTTTCCGACAGTGACCATTTACGCAATCTTTTATGCAGTGAAGAGGACAGTACCAATACATATGCATAAATAATTTCAGACTAAAATAAGCTTGAACATGCCCTCTTTCCCCATATTGTTTTCTTTAACAGTCCGAAACATCTGGGAGGGGGGGGTTGGAGCCCTCCCTCCCCCCTTTCTTTCCTCTTTCGACGCCACTGGTATGGTAGAACACTCCTCGACCGCGAGTTGTGTCCGCTTCTGTGCTTTTTGCTCGGCGTTCCCTCCGTCCCAGAAAAAAAACTTCCAGAGCAATTACAGACTTCACTTACTATATGCCAATGTCATTCGGGCGGCATTCGATCGGATTATTACCAGTGTGCAAAGGGGTGGGGAGGTAGTTTGCCATATCGCTTCAAGGTTTTTCTGAGTCTCAACCTCCTGCCCACCCCTGGCCATTTCGAACTGGATGAGTATTGTAAAACAGTGCGTTTGTGTGATCACTACTGTGTGATGCACGTTAAAGACCCCCCCCCCGAGCTGGTGGTCACAATTACTGATCTATGGTCACACATCACTCTGCACTGGCAAATATTCCAGCACATCTGAGACACTCGAGATTTAATTGCCTGACCAACTTTGCGCAGTCTAAATATCACACGCAAACTTTTCAAATCCTGATTTCGTGAAAACCATTGAGGCGTGAAAACTTCATTTGAAACTGAAACTGTAGAGGAAAACGAAAACCGGACTTTGAACTTCGCGAACTTGGACTTCAAAGAAATTCTAAATCTTTGAAGTTTTTTGTTTTGTTTTTCGAATTTAGCCCTAAGAGGGAATCGCAACCTTCGAACTTTTCTAACTTTATGTAGAAAAAAATTAGAAATATTGATTTTTTAACTTTGTCCATAAAAATTCGAAGTGTTCGAATTTTTTGAATTTTAGGTCTAAAGAATTTCGAAATCTTCGAATTTTTCAAACTTCAGATCCCAAGAAATTCAAATTTTTTTAATCTCTTGAATTTCAAGTTAGGAAAGTTCAAAGCCTTCTAATTTCTCGAACCTCAAGTAAAAAACATATTTGAAATATTCTAACCCAAACTTTTAGAAACCGTGAAAGCTTCAAACTTTTCGAATTTGAAACTCCACAGTAATCGAAAGTTGCGAATTTTTCTAATTCGAACCTCGGTCGGTACGAAAATATCAAAATCTTTCGAATTTGAACCTCAGTTCGGGTTGACAATATTGAAAACTTTCGAATTCAAACCTAGGGTGGTTCGTGACATCCCTATAAGGAGTTTGACATAACGCAGGCAAAACTTTTCTTGTAGAAAGTATTTTTTAAAGAGGGTTTCATGTTGTGTTGGTCACTGCCAAGCTTGGAGAAGTGTGTTTTGGGATAATTAACTGCTCATTTATTTCTTATTCATTAGCTTTCTAATTAGTAGAGGTAAAGGCATGATTTCAACTAGAAACTCGAAAGGTACAAAGAAAAGCACTAAACAACTCACTTTAAGAAATAATTAAGGTGTGGCCAGCATTTTATTCCGCCCCAGAAAGCACAAATTTTGAATGCACCACATGGTTTCAGTTTTCTATTGTCAGTGTTGCCAATACGAAACCGAAACATTGGAAATGCATTGAAATTGGGTTTTTCCTCAAGATGCTATAAAAAGTTGCTTATGCCATAAATCTTTCTAAAGATAACTTAGTTATTTCCGATGATGCCCATCAAGTTTCTAGATGAAACTATATCTTTATTACTATTAACTGCAACACAAATAAAAAATAACTTGTACTAAACGCTTCTAAACAGTATTCACCTCCCTAAGAAGGTCCTTTGGTGGTGACCCATATGACATATCAAGTGCTTTTCTGCACTTTATTCGCAGGAAACATTTAGCCTGCATTTCACGAACCACTCGACTATAAATTCCGGTAAGCGACATGCAGCAGCGTGCATAATGCCACACAAATTTGCACGCAAACACATATTAAACGAGTGGCGGTCGCGCGTCAGCTCACCAAGTGCCCCCAGGCGGTAGTTGAAGGTGACGACGACCACCTCTTGTGATGCGGCGAGCATGTGGCCAGGAAACGTGTTCCCAGAACCGTGGTCAAAGTCGCCGCCGTGAATGTACACCATGACCGCAAACCGTCTGCTAACGTCTTCCAGCTGCAACGCCATCGAAATGCAAAGGGGCCCATTCACACTTGCATTTGCTTAGGACCAAGCACTCGTAATCTCTTACAACAAGGGAGCACACTGGTGCCATCCATGAGGTGACCCTGTAACTGTGTTTCATTAGAGCGAAAGTTTTGCGGTATTTGCGAGGTCAAATGTTCATACTATTTATGAAAATGGTTGTCTATAACACTGCCTACCAGAAAAAAAATGAAAGACGTTTACAAATCTCTGTGATGTGAAATTAGAGCGCAGCTCTTGTTGAGAAGGAGGGGAGGGTAAAAAGAGGAGGGTATGCCCCTCCTCCACCTCTGTACCCTTGCTCCTCCCCTCCTCATCCATCCCCTTCTCTCCCCTACTCCTCCAATTCAGTTTCCTAGTTAAATTCAGCGGAGAAAATGACGTCACATGACTTGGTGTCACGTCACCTACGAACAAATTCAACTTCTCTACAAGATTCAGCGGGAAAATTGACGTCATGTGACCTCAACACCGGTTTATTTCCCCACTAAATTTAGCGGGGAATTGAATTGGTGTAAAGGTCACGTAGTGGGGAATTAAATTGGTGTAGAAGTCACGCGACGTCAATTTTCCTACTAAATCTAGCAGAGAAACTGAATTTGCCCACTAAATCTAGCGCAGAAACTGAATTTCCCCACTAAATTTAGCAGGGAATTGAATAGGTGTTGAGGTCACATGACATCAATTTTCCCTCTAAATTTAGTGTACGCCGACAAACCCGGAAAAGGGCACCTAAGAGCTACGCTCTAAAAAAAACTCTACCATTATCAAAACTTCGGCGGCTGTTCAATTTTTCTCGTCGCTCCTCACTTGACCAGCTGTCGCTTGGTTAATGCCACCGGACAGTGGCGTAGCAACCGGGGGGGGGGGGGGGGGCCCGGGGTACCAGGCCCCCCCGGCACACCCCCTTCCCCGCCGGGGTACCAGGCCTCACGTGGGAGAAGGGGGGGGGGGGGGGTGCCACCTCTGGTGGCAGCCGCCCCTTCCCGCCCCCCTCTTTTTACTGATTGCGATCTTGGGGAGTGAAAGCAAGTGGGCGGGGGGGGGGGGGGGGGCTATGAAATGCCTAAAAGCCCTGGGTGCAAGATGGCCTAGCTATGCCACTGCCACTGGGTCAGCAGGTTGAGCGATCAATTTTTGGGCGTTTGATAACAAGTTCGTAGGATAAACGATGATGAGCGGTTTTTTGTTTCGCCAAGTAGCGCTACTATCCGTGTTGACCCACAATCGTTTGCCGACCAAGTGGAGAGTAATAACAAAAAAAGTACAGCCGCCGAAATGTCGCTTATTTACACGATAGCCTTGATGACGACTCAGCTTTCTACCGTTAGATGGCACTAAAGGTCTTCGGAGCCACGCGCTCGCCTGGGCTTTTTTGTATCATCCGTACCTGCACATATACAGGATGTTATTTTTGTAGTTGGTTCAGAATTAAATAAAAAAGCCTCAGGGCAAGTTGGTAACCATGACGGTTCCTAGAAAAGAGGTGAAAGGGGTAATAATATAGCTAATTAACTCGGCAAAATTTTTTAATAAACTTTTTACATTTTAATTTTTGAGGGCGTAATGTATTTGGAGAAATGACGCTTGACCTCAAACGGTCTAGCCGTGCCACAAAATTTTGATTAGAAAATTTGCAGTGAGCGCTACGGAACAAAAAATGTCACCCTTGTGCATGACTTGAAGGAACCAAAACCACTGAATCTCTTTCCCGCTTAGTTCCAGTCCGAAGCCACGTACGAGGGTGACATTTTTCGCCCCGTAGTGCCCACTAAGAACTTCTTAATCAAAATTTCGCAGGAATGTCTAGACCGTACCGAGGTTGAGCGCATCCAAATACTCTACGCTTCCAGAAAAGTAAACATAAAAAGTAAATGAAAACTTTTAGTGAATTACCCAACTGATCAATCCATATTTTGCCTCTTTTCCTAGTGGCTGTCGTTAACTTGACACCAGAAATAAAGAAAAACAAAAAAACCTCATGCAAGTTTCCTTTCCTTTTTTCTTGTTGAAATTGTGGATTAACTAGAAAGAACACCCCGTATATTTCCTTTCTAGAGAAATCTTAAGAGCGAGTCCTGTTTTCTCGGCAATCGTGTTCACAGATTCAGTTCAAAAACGGTGGGCGCAACACTTCCAAAATAACAAAAGTCGCAGTTTGAACATGTTCCAGGGTTATTTGACAGATGGCGACAGCGTGACAGTGCATTTCCTCGTCGCAAGTGCTTACGAGAGATGGCAACACACCCGAGCACACTCAAAAGCAAATGTGTGGACAGCCCTACTCACGTTTGGGGTGTAAATGTTCAGGTAGAGGCAGTCCTCGCTAGTAGAAGGGATGCCCATGTGCTGTCCCTTGTAGTCAATGTGCTGGACGCACGAGTCGCGAAACTGCAGTGCCTGGACGTTCCCCAGGGGTGGGTGGGCCTGAGGCTCCTGAAACCAGACGCTCCATGTCATTGAAGGGGGCAAAAATGAGGACGACCGAACGAGACACACGCGAAACATGCCGCCTCCCGCCACCCTGTCGGGACATATCTGTCGGCGCCTGTACGACCTATGCATGGGGACAAGCTGTTCGGTAAACGCATTGTTCGGAACAGTAGAGGGGCTGGGCAAGTTTGTATTGCGAGGAAGATCAGGCGAAGTAGGCCGGCATAGGGAAAGACGCTCAATTCTGACCACCGTCGTCCAGCTGCCAGCACGAGAGAGAGAGCGCTTCAGTTTGTTCGACCAGCGCAATGGTGATGGTCAGTTCGACAAACGAGATGTTTTGGGACGACGATGGAGGCGATTACACCTTCACAGGATATATGGCGCGTTTGATTTCATTTTGAAGAGATATTCTTTAAAAAAGCTACACGGGTGCTGTATTCACTGTGTATTTAGTGGGCTCGGCGGACATTAGATAAGGTAATAACCGTCGAATCAAGATGGCTAATTAACTGAACTCTGTTAATCAACCTCTGAAATATTGGTTTTAAGGGCCAAATTGCAATTGCAGTATGGACGGCCAAAGGCCAGATCACTTTTAAAAAAAATTGCGAAAAGGTAATGGTGTTTGAGGTATTCATAGATCAGGTTTTGCGTTTTTTTTTACACCAGACTTTAAAATTGTGCTTAAAAAAGCGTCGCAAGCTCTGCCCACAATGATGCTTAGAAGTGTGACATACCGTAAAATACTGGGCAAGCGCCCACTCAAACTTTAGAGATAATCACCAAGAAATGGGGGATGGGCGCTTGTCCGGTCATCAATTTTACATACCAATGTACTGTGCATATTTTCTCAGATCTTACAAATCTGGGAATGGGCGCTTGGTGTGCAATGGGCGGATGCGCGGTATTCTACGGTAGTCATTTCAGTCATATCGTCATTATTTTGGCAGCATGTCCTTGGTAGATGTGTCGACGCCACACTACGGGGATAGTGACGACATAGCGACAACACTCTTTAAAAAAAAGAAAAATGTGCCTGAATTAAAATGAAACGCCCTGTATGACACCAAATATATGACATTATAACACCCAGTTCGAACAGCCCGAGGCTCCTTTTACTTTCAGTCAAGGGCACTTCGGACAAACCACAACTTTTCACCAGATGCATTTCAATGCCCGCTTGACTCGTCATTTACTCTGATATTCTCCTATGATATATATCTCAAAAGACTTCAGATATTATCTTATGGGTGTGTTTTGCTGTACTCAAAGCAACCCTAGTTTAACTTTGACATCTACTATACTTGTTGTCACTAAAAAGAAAAGCAAGTTTTGAGCATTGCTTTTACACGGTGCAAAGTAGTTCTTCAAGATTTGTTTGTAGGAGGAAGAAATGCTTTTTGCATTTGAAACTACCTGCAAGTCTTGATACTAGGTAACATATATCTAATCTAAAATTCACCCACATATATCTTAATGCTCCACATGAAGGGACTTTTATTACCACGGTTCATGAGGTGGAAACGATTGTAGAGTAGTAGTTTATTTATTTTTCGCCCAGAAATGTTTCTTCATATCCAAGCGTCCATCTCCGGCTGCGCACGCGTGACCGGAATTCACGTGAGAGAAACGTATACCAGGTGCCCAATGCCAAGTGAGACCAGTGAAGCACCACCGAAAGCGCAGGTTCGGCCCGCGTGCGGTGCAATCGAAAATACCAAGTGCTGCCGCCCCCAGTCCAAGATATATAAAACAACAACAACAAACAACAATAACAACAACAACAACATTGTGAAGTGAAGCGACGGCGCAAAGAACGCCCCTCTTTGCGCATCCTCCCCTCTCCCACCCCCATCAAAAGTGTAAAGAGGGTTTTGACCGGTTGACCAAAACGGACGCACGCGCGCTTCGGGAGTAATGGTACTCTAAAAGCGGGGCTACTGGCGGAGGTCACGGTCGGTCGTTAGTCCTTTCGGCTGGGTTTACGAAAGGCAGCTCCGAGCGCCACGAGCAGACGACAAAAACAGCCGATTAAATCGCCCGCCGGAAGTAGAGAGGAGACACGTTCCGTCTTGTCCGGCTCCGGACGGTAATGAATCCGTAGCTACTTTAGTACAGTGGTACGCGGAGCCCTCCGCTGGCCGAACAAATAACGTCCTAAAAAAAAAAATCCAAATATTAAAAAAAAAGAAAAAAAAAAAAAAAGCTCGATGATAAAAAGATTTGCAGTCACAGACAGGATGAGAAATGCGGGGAGGTCTACATTGCACTGTCTCCAGCGCGAGCTTCCCATCTCCGATAACTATGCTCGTGAGCCTCGATTTTTATAGTCAAAGCACGACGAAGGCAACTGTGCTGTAGCTAGGCTAGGCGGCTCGGGCGTTCGAAACAGAAACCCCGCCGTTCTGAGACTAAAATCGATCTAATCGGCGATGTAATCCATCTTCGAACCTCCCTTGCGTGCTTAGTGCTTACCAGGGGCTCGTTCCTTTCGTCTTCTTTCTTTGGAGGACTTGCACGGGTGCCAACGTTTAATTAAATGGACTTCAGAATTTGTGCAGATTATTTGCGCAGGTTCGAAAGCCGACAATGATACGGCGCGGTTCGTTAATTAAAATCGGAAAGCAAGCGTGGTTCATGGTATAGAGATGGCTCCTTTCACTCACTCTCATCGATAATCATTTGCCTTTCCGATTTTATGTCTTGCCAGCGCTGTCTCCACATGCACAAGTGAACGGCCCCGACTGTTGCCGCAACAAAAGATTTACCGCGAAAATACCGCGCGCGGATATTCGAATGCTTCAGAAACACAAGGTTGCGAAGGAGAGCCAAAACGCTGTCTCATCGAAGGACGAAAAAGAAAGAGATGCCAGGACACGCGAGTGAAATTAGATACGCGCCTAAAAAAAGATGCGAAGAAAAGAATTTTTTTTTTTTTTTTTTATGATTGACAAATTAAAAATAGAACAATACATCATAGACGTTCCAACTGGGGATGGTGAGTTTAGGTTAGGTTAGGTTCCAGCTGACTACCAGCTGATCCCAACTGGTCCCCATTAATTCCCAGTTGGGACCAGTTGAGCTTCTAACTGGTGTCAGGAATTTTCACATGGGGCGACTACAAGTCTTTAATGGCACGCCTCTAGAAACACTAATCACGAACTCCACATGCAAGTATACGTCACATTAATTAAGCTCGACAAGCACTGGTTTTAAGAGGTACCCACCCTGAACCTGTTGTGTCCGAGCGGTGGCAGAGCGTACGGGATGCCGAGGTACGCGACAGCACTGGACGGATAGTTTATCCTCTCGTTCCTGTGTTCGACCCCTCCCTGCGACACGGGTCTCTGGTCGTTCCGCGTGTACTCGGGCAGATCGCACAGGTAAATAATCCGACCCAGAAAGACGCCCGCGGGAGTGGTCGCAGTCCTGGTCATGCTGATCTGCGTCGTCGATCGGATGTCGCATCGGGCATCGCTGTACCGGTGGAGTTCGGTCGGTTCGGCGTAGTAGAGGCTCGTGCCACCGAAACGGGTGCTGTCCGGCCTGTAGAACGAGCCCGATGGGTTACGGTTCGACGAGAAATCGGGCTGCTGGGGCGCACCACCGGAAGGGTACGGCCGCTGGTTTGACCACTGGCCGTCGCTGGAACTGGCGAAGATCACCAGCCCCAGCGCTGTCGTCTGTATGAGATACCTCATCATACTGTCACTGCGGTCGCGTCATGGTACTCGTGCGAGCGTTGGGTGAGTAATGGAGCGATGAGTGAACCACACCTTCGAGCATACATGCACAAACTTTCGTGTTTTGAACTTTGAGCCGACGCCAGCGTTGGCCAGCGTCCGCGTCGAGCGATAAACAACCTTTAGTTGGTTACCTGTCCGCTAGAAAGCGCTAGTCTCGTTTTTTTCTATGAGCATTACGCAAAGAATGTTAAACAAAAAATAACATTAATTTTAAAATTTTTTAAATTTTAAAAGTTTTGGAGCTATTAAATATTGAATTACTTGAAACGTGAAGTTGCGCGCTAAATTTGTTTCCACGGATAGAGGGTGCAGAAACTCTAGCTAACTCTAGCGACCCTGGAGCGTAGTCGTGTAATGTTCCTTCTGGGCCTTCTGGGGTGTGTCCATTTGTTCCATAGATTTGTTCATAAAGTCGATAAAGTCAACCTTGTTCTTACACGTGATGGGTGTGTTGCAATCCTCTGACAACAGTTTTTTGATGTGGTGCGAGAACCCGTGAGTGCGCGGAATGGTAAGAAATTTCTTGTCGCTACTACAGTCGCTACTATGGTGCCTGGAACCAATGCTGGAACGCGTCTCCGACTGGTGTGTTTACCGCGGCCAAAAAAGTGGTCCCTCGATTTCTGCCTGATGACGTCATACAAGTGTCATGTTGTCGCTGGTCGCGACCCTGGCGGCGTCTCAACAGTTGTGGTATAAGTAGCAGACGCCTGTTCTGCTGCAGGTCGCTCTCCACTGTGACAGTTCACGGAATCTAGAGCAGCCGGAAGTTGGGACGCCGTGACGACAGCGACACTCGCGTTCGCTCGTGCTTTTCGCCAACACTTCTACGGCCAACCGCCAGGATCGCGACAGGCAACAACATGACACTCCGGCTTCTGTGACGTCATTTGTTGCCACATTGGGACCACTTTTGATGTATGGGTGGGATAGGACGTTAAACACACAAGTCGCTACCAGGCTTTACGACGGACCGTGGAAGAGCCAACAAACCAACTGAACCAATCCGATGCCGTGCAAAAATCACGTGACCTTAAACTAAAACAGTAACGCGCGTAAAGTGTAGTCACGTGCTATCTACGTTGACTTGGATTAGCTGGAATGGCTTGTAAAGTCCTCTGCGGTCCATTATAAGGTGAAACTGGGTGAAACCGTGATACTGTCTGGCTGAGTCAGCTGAGTCGCATGGTGGGACTCGGAGGTTAGAATAGGAGCAGCTGCCGTTTCTCGGAAAATGAAAACAAAGTTGCGTAATTACGTCAGTGGCCTTGCGATGTTGCGGTATTCAAGCCGTTGATTCATGCTGAAAGAACAAAGATAGAGAACAAAACGTGCATCACGGCCCCAACAGCCCGATTCGTGTCGGGTGAGATACCACTGATTACTCGGGTGATTGCAGGTGCGCGCTGCTCCTCCTGAGTTTAGCAGCGCGATCTGGAAGGCCTTGAGATAAGTTTGCATGGTGACAGCGGGTAATCGAAGAAGCACGTGCCAGCATATCGAGCAGCGTCCAACTTTCTTCAATGGAGCACTCCGCCGAGAGCGAAGTTGTTGTGAAGGCCGCAGCGCCCAAGTCCAAAGGTAAGCGAATTCGGGGACATCCGTCATTCCTAGCTGTAGGTGTAAGCGCGTGTGCTGTACGAGAAGGCTCTCTGTACGCGCGGTTTAATCACAATCGCATAAAAAAGAAAATAGGAACAGTGGCAACATTAAGGTGAGAGAGGTTACTGCGATTGTCAATGAGTCAGCGGGGTTTTATTTGACTCCTAAATAGACTCTTTGGGGCGTCATTCAATCGTACTGGAGCAGATATTAAATAATGAATTAAAAACTAGCTCAAGAATTTTCTTTTTTTATATATGTTAGCTTGTGTCGTTGATGCGAGTGAAAATGCACCCTTTGTCACCACCAAGATTTCATGCAAAAGCTCATCGATGACAATGTATACCTCTAATATCAGTTTAATTGTACAGAAAAGCAACAATTTTCACCTATTACAATTGCGCGTTAAGTATACATTGCATGCAATTTGAAAGACGAAAATATGCTGCCGTCTTTTGAATCGTAATTTTCAGATGACTGGCTCATGGGCGCACATATGTCCTAAATTCTATAGCAAATTTTTCATCTTTCCACATTGCAGCATGCCTTCCAATGCGGTATGTGATGTGCTTCATGATCAGCCTAGGGGTGTTCCTTGTCTACTCGATGAGGGTGAATCTTAGCGTCACCATCATTGCAATGGTGAACACCACTGCCACCGACGCAAACTCAACCGACATGGTCAACATGGCGTGCCCAGTCTCCAGTAACCAGACCTCTCCAGATGACTCTAAAAAGGTGACGCTCCCCTTGCTATGGTCTACAAAATTCTCAGAAAATATACCTATAGGCAGGGATGGGCAAAATACATGCAAATATGTATCGAAATACGAATACAAAATACTTCGTCAAAAATGTATTTAATTACGAATCTAATTACATTTCCAAAATAGCATTTAAGTACAAGATACAAATACAACCAAATGTATTTGGTTTCCTCCAAATGCTTTTCCAAATACATTCCTCAAAAATCTGCGTCAGCGACTTCAGGGCAACTGCAACTGTTTTCTGGGTATCTCATTTTCATTTTGCATCGCACACTCGGGAGTTAGTGTGCGAGGCTCTAGTAACGTAATAGAAATATAATCATAAAAAAATGTAATCAGCTTGGACGTAATAAGTGAAAAAAGTACAGAGCTTCAAGCAGCTTTTTTTTCGACTACATTCAAAAAAGAACCGAGATGACCAAGACGCGCAGCACTAGCTAGAGAATATTTTTATTGTTGCAACTCGCACCAGTTACGAGAATCTGGACGACCCGCGCATTTAGAATGTTCCAGGCAAAAATATGGATGGAAATCAGGCTGGAAAGCGTCACAAGTTGTCACAGGCACTTATTTAGCCAGTCTGCCTGTGAACGTCGATTTCGTCACTACTCTTGCCCTGGAAAAGTACCGTTATCACAGTCACTAAATGCTTGTGCTTGATTGAGAGACACTGCATTCGGTGCAGAACGTAGTTTTCTTCCTGCTCTGGACAGTGACAATAAATTTGAGGGATGTATTTGCACCCACAAAATTGTATTTAATTACAATTGTATTTGAAATACCCACGTTTTAGTATTTAAATACACACGTCAAATACATTACCCAATTTGTAATTAAAGACAAATGCAAAATACACAAAGTATTTAAATTATGTATTTCAAATACTTGTTGTTGAAATACTGCCCATCCCTGCCTATAGGTTTGCAACAATTAAAATACGAGAAAAGAGCCAAAGTACAGGCTAGCTGGTGGAAGTCAACCATTTCGACGTTTACCCTGAGACTGGGGGGTTTTTAGAAGAGCAGAAGTGACAGAAAAAAACAGACAGGTCTCAAACTGCTCTTCTAAAAACCCCCCAGTCTCAGGGTAAACGTCGAAATAATTAAAATACATATTCGGAAAGCGTGTTCCCGGAAAAAAATTCACAGTGTTTTCTTCGCCGCAAAAGGAAACTATGCACCGCCTGATGCTCAGGATCACCACTCAGTGCTATTGGTCTGGACTAGATGCCAAAGTTTCAGACCAAACCAGTATCGTATTCAAAAGTTAAAAGTGGTTTCGTGAAACCTTCAATGGGGAAAATAGAGCCCGCTTACAGTAGCTGATGCCATGAACCTCCTAAATTCGTGGGACTCATTGGCCGCCATTTCACCATGAAAATTTCCAAAAATTGCTTGTAACTTTTTATTCAGGTAACGGCAAGCTGTGAAACTTTGGCATCTGGTCCGAACCGCTATCACTACCTTTGGGTAGAGACTGGGTGTCCGGTAACGCATGGTTTATTTTTGCGACGAAAAAAACAACACTACATTTTATTGCGAGACCAGGTAGTGCCCATATTTGTTCGTCTGTCACAACCCCATTTGTTGAAGTCAACAAATCTTGGGGCCAGAATATGAGGTCATTAAATGAGGAAGACAGTTTTCCATATTCTTATTGTAATGTTAAAAAGAACGCAGTGTCTAGTGTTAAGTCCGAGGGAACCCGAAATAAAAATTAAAGTTACGTCCCTAACTTTACCCCAAGGTTTCGAGTTACGTCCAGTGTAACCGAATATGAATATTAAAGTTACTTCCTAGGGAACCCGAAATGAAAATTAAAGTTACGTCCCACGTAACTTTACCCCAAGGTTTCGAGTTACGTCCAGTGTAACCGAATATGAATATTAAAGTTACTTCCTAGGGAACCCGAAATGAAAATTAAAGTTACGACCCACGTAACTTTACCCCAAGGTTTCGAGTTACGTCCAGTGTAACCGAATATGAATATTAAAGTTACTTCCTAGGGAACCCGAAATGAAAATTAAAGTTACGTCCCACGTAACTTTACCCCAAGGTTTCGAGTTACGTCCAGTGTAACCGAATATGAATATTAAAGTTATTTCCTAGGGAACCCGAAATAAAAATTAAAGTTACGTCCCACGTAACTTTACCCCAAGGTTTCGAGTTACCTCCGACGTAACCCAGTATGAAAATTAAAGTTACGTCCCTGGATGGAACTCGAAATAAAAATTAAAGTTACGTCCCTAACTTTACCCCAAGGTTTCGAGTTACGTCCAGTGTAACCGAATATGAATATTAAAGTTACTTCCTAGGGAACCCGAAATGAAAATTAAAGTTACGTCCCACGTAACTTTACCCCAAGGTTTCGAGTTACGTCCAGTGTAACCGAATATGAATATTAAAGTTACTTCCTAGGGAACCCGAAATAAAAATTAAAGTTACGTCCCACGTAACTTTACCCCAAGGTTTCGAGTTACATCCGACGTAACCCAGTATGAAAATTAAAGTTACGTCCCTGGATGGAACTCGAAATAAAAATTAAAGTTACGTCCCTAACTTTACCCCAAGGTTTCGAGTTACGTCCAGTGTAACCGAATATGAATATTAAAGTTACTTCCTAGGGAACCCGAAATGAAAATTAAAGTTACGTCCCATGTAACTTTACCCCAAGGTTTCGAGTTACCTCCGACGTAACCCAGTATGAAAATTAAAGTTACGTCCCTGGATGGAACTCGAAATAAAAATTAAAGTTACGTCCCTAACTTTACCCCAAGGTTTCGAGTTACGTCCAGTGTAACCGAATATGAATATTAAAGTTACTTCCTAGAGAACCCGAAATAAAAATTAAAGTTACGTCCCACGTAACTTTACCCCAAGGTTTCGAGTTACCTCCGACGTAACCCAGTATGAAAATTAAAGTTACGTCCCTGGATGGAACTCGAAATAAAAATTAAAGTTACGTCCCTAACTTTACCCCAAGGTTTCGAGTTACGTCCAGTGTAACCGAATATGAATATTAAAGTTACTTCCTAGGGAACCCGAAATGAAAATTAAAGTTACGTCCCACGTAACTTTACCCCAAGGTTTCGAGTTACGTCCAGTGTAACCGAATATGAATATTAAAGTTACTTCCTAGGGAACCCGAAATAAAAATTAAAGTTACGTCCCACGTAACTTTACCCCAAGGTTTCGAGTTACCTCCGACGTAACCCAGTATGAAAATTAAAGTTACGTCCCTGGATGGAACTCGAAATAAAAATTAAAGTTACGTCCCTAACTTTACCCCAAGGTTTCGAGTTACGTCCAGTGTAACCGAATATGAATATTAAAGTTACTTCCTAGGGAACCCGAAATAAAAATTAAAGTTACGTCCCGCGTAACTTTACCCCAAGGTTTCGAGTTACCTCCGACGTAACCCAGTATGAAAATTAAAGTTACGTCCCTGGATGGAACTCGAAATAAAAATTAAAGTTACGTCCCTAACTTTACCCCAAGGTTTCGAGTTACGTCCAGTGTAACCGAATATGAATATTAAAGTTACTTCCTAGGGAACCCGAAATGAAAATTAAAGTTACGTCCCACGTAACTTTACCCCAAGGTTTCGAGTTACCTCCGACGTAACCCAGTATGAAAATTAAAGTTACGTCCCTGGATGGAACTCGAAATAAAAATTAAAGTTACGTCCCTAACTTTACCCCAAGGTTTCGAGTTACGTCCAGTGTAACCGAATATGAATATTAAAGTTACTTCCTAGGGAACCCGAAATGAAAATTAAAGTTACGTCCCACGTAACTTTACCCCAAGGTTTCGAGTTACGTCCAGTGTAACCGAATATGAATATTAAAGTTACTTCCTAGGGAACCCGAAATAAAAATTAAAGTTACGTCCCACGTAACTTTACCCCAAGGTTTCGAGTTACATCCGACGTAACCCAGTATGAAAATTAAAGTTACATCCCTGGATGGAACTCGAAATAAAAATTAAAGTTACGTCCCTAACTTTACCCCAAGGTTTCGAGTTACGTCCAGTGTAACCGAATATGAATATTAAAGTTACTTCCTAGGGAACCCGAAATGAAAATTAAAGTTACGTCCCACGTAACTTTACCCCAAGGTTTCGAGTTACCTCCGACGTAACCCAGTATGAAAATTAAAGTTACGTCCCTGGATGGAACTCGAAATAAAAATTAAAGTTACGTCCCTAACTTTACCCCAAGGTTTCGAGTTACGTCCAGTGTAACCGAATATGAATATTAAAGTTACTTCCTAGGGAACCCGAAATGAAAATTAAAGTTACGTCCCACGTAACTTTACCCCAAGGTTTCGAGTTACCTCCGACGTAACCCAGTATGAAAATTAAAGTTACGTCCCTGGATGGAACTCGAAATAAAAATTAAAGTTACGTCCCTAACTTTACCCCAAGGTTTCGAGTTACGTCCAGTGTAACCGAATATGAATATTAAAGTTACTTCCTAGGGAACCCGAAATGAAAATTAAAGTTACGTCCCACGTAACTTTACCCCAAGGTTTCGAGTTACCTCCGACGTAACCCAGTATGAAAATTAAAGTTACGTCCCTGGATGGAACTCGAAATAAAAATTAAAGTTACGTCCCTAACTTTACCCCAAGGTTTCGAGTTACGTCCAGTGTAACCGAATATGAATATTAAAGTTACTTCCTAGGGAACCCGAAATGAAAATTAAAGTTACGTCCCACGTAACTTTACCCCAAGGTTTCGAGTTACCTCCGACGTAACCCAGTATGAAAATTAAAGTTACGTCCCTGGATGGAACTCGAAATAAAAATTAAAGTTACGTCCCTAACTTTACCCCAAGGTTTCGAGTTACGTCCAGTGTAACCGAATATGAATATTAAAGTTACTTCCTAGGGAACTCGAAATAAAAATTAAAGTTACGTCCCTAACTTTACCCCAAGGTTTCGAGTTACGTCCAGTGTAACCGAATATGAAT